GATGCATCTTAAGTTACATACTTTTTAAACAAGCAAATGCCAGAAGACTACATGCAATATAATGAGAATGGAAGAGATTTGGGAATCAGAAAAATCAGGTTAGAATGTAATATTTTCCTATTTATTTGTAGATATCGGGACTACCGCGACCCTCCGCATTCACTGGTGCCCTATGGCTACACACTGCAGTTCTGGCACGTCCTAGCAGCTCGACTGGCTTTTATCATTGTGTTTGAGGTCAGTTTTCTCAACCAGTTTCTTTCTTTCCTTTGATATAAGAAAGTAACTAAGAGTAATGAATGAACATAAGTGATGGAACTTTCAAGATGATGATCTGCTTCCAGAAGTAGTAGAATAATATTATATAACTGCTTTCTTTTCTTTAATCTTCTTTTTCTTCTCTTTAATTGAAGTACTTAAATATTTTAAGAAATATTTGAAAATTCCTCATTGACTTTTAATGGACACATCAGAAATTAATGGTCCTAAATGTAATATTCTAGTACCTGGGTAGCACAGAGAGTTAAGCACTCGACTACTAGCTGAAAGGTTGGAGGTTCAAACCCACCCAGAGATGGGTCAGAAGATAGGCTTGTTGATCTGCTTCCAAACGGTTACAGCCATGAAAATCTTATGGGACAATTCTACTCTGCACACATGGGGTCTCCATGAGTCAAGTTGACTCCATGGCAACCAGCAACAACAAATTTCATGTTGTAGGGCTGTGATTCATAAACTTTAGGAAAAGTCCCATTTTCCCATCCCCACCCTCAGAGATTCTGATATATCATGTGTATAGTTTGCTTTTTACAAGGCCCCAAGATGATTCTGATACAGGTGTTCAGGATAGTTTGAAAAGTTGCTACAAGTAGTAGAATCTCATTGTGCATCATCATGGCATTAATTATATTCAAACACATAAAGGAATATTCATTACCTACCACTTAAAATTTACTTAAGAGCTCTGGTGGTGTAGTGCCTAAGGCATGTGACTGCTAGCCAGAAGGCTGGCGTTTCAAACCCACCAGCCACTCCTCGGAGAAAGACTGGGCAATCTACTCCTGTAGAGACACAGCCTCAGAAACCCAAGGAGGGGTTGCTATGAGTCAGAATTGACTTAGAAATTAAATTGACTTAGAAATTAAAATCTACCCAGCAAATGTCAATATTATGTGTTACAGTAAAACTGTATCATCTGTTTTCCTTTAGTCTTTAGGAGAATTACTATTAAAAATAGTTTAAACTTTAACTCTGCTCATAAATAGTGATCTTATCCGTTCTCATATATATTGAAGCTAAGGTTGCCTCTTGGCTTGAACCAGAAATTTTACGTACTTGAGACTTAGTCCATTGTTGCTTTTTCTTTCACGCAAAGGCATAAAGAGAAAACAATATTAAGCTCCTCTTCCTTGCAAAGTAGCTTATCAATGGCTCAGCCCCTCTTTAATGAAGACATTTTTAACCCACCACTGTCTTAAACTTTTTCCAAAATTAAAAGTGGTTGTATTAAACTATTATTTGGCTTTTTAAGCAACTTTACATTTCTTGATAATTCAAATTGTTATTAAATGACTTTAAAATATTAAAATATACAGAAAAGTTTCTCACCTAGCAAGAGCATACAAGATTTTCGAAGTTGGGAAAGGATATTTTATTTAAACAAATTTAACTTTATTTAGTAATTTAGAATTGTAATGCCTTAAAATTGTCTTTTGTTGCTTTATAGATCACCATCATATAAATGAACAGAAGTGACAGTGCTTCTAGAGCCCCAGCTAGTGGAATTTCAGATACAGAATTTGTAGCAATTTACTAAAAAAAAAATCCTAAAATTACCACTTCCCTGAGCCCTTGGATAATTTTAACAATCAAAATTTATAAAGCATTTGACAGCCTACAAAGAATCTTTAAACATTTTCTTATTATTTCCACAATAATGTTCACTTTATAAATGATGGAATTGAGGATCAGAGAAATTAAGTGACTTATCCTCAGGTGAACAGCTCTTAAATAGCAGAAGTTACTGAGCTGGGATTCAAACCTGGGCTTTCTGATTTCACAGTAGGCTCTCCTCCCAATTCTCTGACCGTTCCTTCTCCACCCTCTTTCCTGAATCCTCTTCCATTCCCTAACTGGTGCCATCAGACTAAGATCAGTTCTCACCTATCCCTGTGTTGTTCTTTCATTGTGTGCAGCTCTCTGGTCTCCTCCCACCTTCCCAAATCCCTGGAGTGGGAGAAGTTCCCGAGTTGACTCCCAAGTCACTTTAAGCTAAGCATGGACAATAGACCTGATTCTGTTGTGTTCTCCTCTATTTTTTTAGCACCTCGTGTTTTGTATAAAGCACCTCATTTCATATCTGATCCCAGACCTCCCAAAAGATCTAAGGGATCGGATGAGAAGAGAGAAGTATTTAATTCAAGAGATGATGTATGAAGCTGAACTGGAGCGTCTCCAGAAGGAACGGAAGGAAAGGAAGAAAAATGGAAAAGCACACCACAACGAGTGGCCATGACCAGGTAGGTAAGAGGCATGCTCACTGTCTGAAACTACTCCAAGGCTGAGAGGGGGAGGGGGCACCATAAACTCCCTGCAACAAACTTGACCTTGTTCCACTGATAGATCTCAAATTAAACTTCTTAGAAGCTTTGAAAGCCAGCCTTTATATATATATAGACAGAGGGCGGGGGGAGAGAAAGTGACAGAGAGAGAATTATCTCAAGGAAATGTCTCATACAGTTATAAAAGCTGGCAAGTCCCAAGTCCATGAGTCACA